TAAAATGCTATAATATAAAAGCCACAAAATGAATAAAAAATTTGATTATTTGGTTACGACAAAAATATTTTTTTTTTTCTTTTAGTAGCAGTAAAAAAATTTAACCTAATATTTTCGAGGAACCTAAATATTGTCGAGTAATTTAAGCTCTACTAAATGTTTTTGAAGTTCTGCCAAATGCTTTTGCAAAACCTAAATACTTTTGAGGAACCTAAGCTTTACCAACTGTTTTTGAGAAACCTTAGCGTCACCAAATGCTTTCGAGGAACCTAATACTTTTGAGGAACCTAAGCTTCCAAATATTTTCGAGGAATTTTACCTAACCTAAGCTCTACTAAGAATCTAATGCTTTCAAGGAACCTGAGTTCTGCCAAATGCTTTCGAGAAACCTAAGATCCTTCAAATTTTTCGTAGAACCTAATGCTTTCGAGGAACCAAAGTTCCGCCAAATGCTTTTGAGGAAACCTAAATACTTTCGAGTAAACTAACTAAAAGCTTTTGAGAAACCTAAGTTCCGCCAAATGCTTTCGAGGAATCTAAATACTTTTGAATAACCTAAAGAAACAGAGTTCTGCTAAATGCTTTCGAGGAACCTAACCTAAGCTCCACCAAATGCTTTCAAGGAACCTAAGCTCCAACAAATACTTTCGAGAAAACTGAGTTCTGCCAAATGCTTTCGAGAAACCTATAATCTACCAAATCTTTTGTGGAACCTAATGTTTTCGAGAATCTAAATACTGTCAAGTAATCTAAGCTTCACTAAATGCTTTTAAAGTTCTACCAAATGCTTTCACAGAATCTAAATACTTTCGAGAAACCTAAGCTCCGCTCCACCAAATGCTTTTGAAATCTTTGTGGAACCTAATGTTTTCGAGGAACCCAAATACTGTTGAGTAACCTAAGCTCTACTAAATGCTTTTGAAGTTCTGGCAAATGCTTTTGTGGAATCTAAATACTTTCGAGGAACCTAAGCTCTACCAAATGCTTTCGAAGAACCTTAGCTCCACCAAATGCTTTTGAGGAACCTAAACTAAATGCTTTCGAGAAACCTAAGCTCCACCAAATACTTTCGAGAAAACTGAGTTCTGCCAAATGCTTTCGAGAAACTTAAGATTCACCTAATCTTTCATGCCACTTGACACAGAGCTCACCTTTATGTGCTATTATTAGTGATTGATATAGTCATATTTTTGCACAGTGTATATGATTGGCGCAGAGCTCAAAGTTATGCGCTGTTATTTTAACGGAAAGCAGCTTATATTGTGTGCTGTAGCTTTATTTTTTATTATTTTTTATTGTTAAATATCTATAACTAAATCTTCAATATTTGATCTCAATATTAACTTACTTTGATCTAAATATTGGTTAATAAAACATAAATAGTAGTCTATTTACAATCTAATTGCATATATTTTGGTTAATATATGTTGAGTCTATTCTGAGTAAATTTTCTTTCATCTGAATTTTTGTTAAAAACGATTCATATTTAACATTGGTCATCAATTGAAAGAACCTTGGCGAAGCACCCACCTAGGCAAGGTCTCTGATCAAATAAAGTTGTGCATCAATTATTCGTTTAATGCGCCTTAGTACTTTATAAATTCTATCTTCATGCTCATGAGAAGTTATATTGAGGTTTTTTTTTTGAGCTCATGTTTTTTCTTGGTCCGAAAGTTTGAATTGTTTTTATATAAGCTGGTCATACCAGAAAATATTAGATTAAATTTTTTTACTGCTACTAAAAGAAAAAAAAAA